GGGGGTCAAGTCAAAAACCATTCCAAAAGTGTTGGCATTTGAAAATGGGACAATGTGACAGAGATAAGGGTTACCCTCAAAAACCAAAAGGGTAGACCTTGCTATGTTCATGTAAAAACACAGATGTCTTTGATTACAGAAGTCGACATTAAGTTCTCTCATTAAGTTCTCTTGAGTAGGCAATGATTGTGTCACAACCCCTGTGGTGAATGACCTTACAGTTTGGCAGATCTGAACTCTAGGGGGCATCTCAAAAGTCAAAATACCCTGTTCATTGAATTACAATTGCTTGAATACAAAGGAAGGAGATGAACTCAGCTTCATGGGAAAAAGAATTTTATGACTACTGTTTTAAAGATACTTGCACTGCTTAAAAGATGGTTACATAAAAATGCTCTCCATTTCAACATGCTCAATAAAGTTCAAAGTTTGAAGTACATGTATGTATTATAGCTTGGTGAACTCTCCAGTAAATATACAAAATAGCCTTCATCTCTAACCAGCTGGTGATATTCCTAAACACATGCCTCTCTCACAAATCCCTGCTGACTTCAGCATTTTACCGATTCCACAGGCCAGCATTCTTCTATGTTTATCCATGTGAGATTTTAGAAGCCTGTTCAGAACTTAATTACTGCCTAAAATCATGACTTCTCGGTAAATAATCAAAAGTGTATTTTAAAAACACACACATCAGCAAAATCCAAAAATTTAAATCAAAGAAAAATTTATGAGAAATCTAAATAAACGATTAATTTTTTTTAAAAATCTTTTAGCATGGTTTTTATCCTGAAAATACCTTAGAAGGGAATTAACATTTAAATATTGAGCAAATTCTTAAAACTTCCTACTCTATAAATAGAGCTTGAGGAAACAGGAAAATAAATTATGGTACTGCACTACTTTAACTATCATTAAGGGTGAAAATGAGGAAGAATTTATAATAGCAAAATCAGCAGAATATATCTGCCCAAATTTTCTCCATACCTTTAAAAGATAAGTAACCCATACCTCAAATGATAAGTAACCCATGCATGAGAAAAGGGCCTTGGGGCCCATGATTCATGGAATTTGTATGCAGAAAAGAATGTGCTGTAAGTATATTAACATACATAATAAATAAACAAACCTGTAAGTAGTGAAGAGCCAGGGGGAATGGACAGAGTAACAACGAGGTCACTTATCTGAGAGACGCCAATAAAACCTCACAGGTCAGCTAATCTATAATTAGCACTGCTCTTTGTGTCCTTTAACAGAGAGGGCTAGATTTATTGGCATTTTTGAATGGAGCTTAATACTTCCTACAAACTACATGTTCTAAATACAAACAAAGGCTTACCTAGATAACAATAGCACATGAAAAGAATAGTCTTTGTTGTACAGCAAATGGAATTAATTGTTGACCAAACTGTCCATTAATCCACTTACAAAGCACAGAAAAATCACATCCAACATATAATGAATATTTCTTCTGTGCCAGTCTAAACTGCTGAAATTCTTCACCTTAAATAGGTTACTATCTAAGCACACAAAAACTGATGAATGTGTGAATTATCTGACAACTCAAACCACCAGGGTTAACAACAAAGGTCAACAAACCTTATTTGGATGTAGGTCAGGGTTCATAGGTTATGGAGCATGCCTTGTCAGAAGCAGACAAACCAGTAGTAAATGCATGAATAGAATTTGGAGGGTAATGAAAGACTATCTTAGCATTACTTAATCAAATTGCAGTATTTGTAGTTCTTTTTCCATAAACATAAACAGATTTTTTTCAACAAAATCTTAACAATCAAGGGTATTATTAACAAGCTTCTTGTTGGAGATTAAGAGGAAACATAATGAATTAGAACTGGGTGTTTTGAAAATAAAACTTCTAAAAATTACACACTATAAGAGAGAGAGAGAGAGAGAGAGAGAGAGAGAGAGAGAGAGATGACTGATCAAAGACAAGACAGGCCTGTACACACAGGTGAACTAATGTGACTACACAAAGAAAAGTCAACCTCCTATCCTTATAATTATAAGCTCTGAATTAGTTATGTATATTTGAACTCTGAATTAGCATATGACAAAAAATTATATATATAATGCAAAGAACAAGCGGCTTACTTTAAAAGATTTTGCATCAACATTTTCATCTTTATAATTGCATCAATATTTTGAACAGGACTCACTTTTAAAAGTACAACTAATGCAACAAAGATAAAAGAGAATTTCAAAAAATATGTTTTTGAGAGATTTTAGTTTCAAAACAATGATCAAAAATGTCTCTTTTTAAAATGATTATAGTCAAAGGTTTTTTTTTTGGTGCATAATTCAACTCTCCACTCCCTTTGGTTCCAAATCATTAAATAAACCTACACAAAGAGAATAAATATTACATCCATGTAACCTTTAAAAACATCAGTTGATACATAAATACAGCATCACATTAAACCATACAAAATAGTTTTCCTATACGCATATGGTATAATACAACAATAGATTTTTTCACATGTAAATGATGTTATTGCAATGTAAAACAGGGGTATTAACTGTACATACAGGTATAATTCAATGAACTTTATAGCGAGCTCTGACTGTCAGTATGATGGATAATTATTTGAAGAGTGGAGAAAAGAAATGAATGGTGAATGTGTTTTTTTTTTTTTATTTGGATTAATTATAACTTTTTGTATGTATGGTACATCAAAGCTCAGGAATATTTGTTTGAGACTAGGGCTGAGTAATTTGCTAGAGATTTTGTATTGCAATATAAACGATATTTTTATCTGTATTGCAATATGTATTGCAATATTTTCAACACAAAAAAATAAATGAAATTTTCTTATTGTATTATCTTCTTTTTACACAAAGAATGTACATAACCATGATAAATAACCAATAAAAAGATATCTTGTTGATTGAATTACAATTATGCAAAGAAATACACCCACACAGCAGCTTTAATTTTCATGTTTGGCACATTTGCAAACCTTTCTGACAACTTTTCCTTTTATTTTATGATAGAATTCCTGAGTCCAAGCATTTTTCTTGTATATTCTTATGATGGTATCACAAAAATGACTTGGGTTGTCCCTAAGAATTGAAAAAGAAGGTAGATGGGGATCTTGTTTTCTTCCCTAATGGGGAGTTTACACAGAATACCAAAATAACCAGGGGATAACACCATTATAAGGAGCTTTAGATTGTCACTATATGCCTTACATTTATATTATATACCTTAAACTTATTAGTGCGTATATTAATACCATGTATTACAAAACAATATTTTTTGTCAACATACTTATTAATACTTTTACAATACAATATTTTTTGTCAACATACCAGAACTTGGCTATTATTGCCCAACCCTAGTTTTGATTGATGCTGCACTTACTTGTAATGATTTACTGTATACAGGGAAATTTTTGCACTGTTTTATTTTTGCCCCTTTTGCCCAGGCAAATTGCCCTTCACTCAATTGAGCAAAATTTAAATGGGGCAAATTCAAAGAATACAGTACAATTTCCTAAACAGAACTGTGATATGGCGAATTCAAGATGGGGAAAATTGTTTGCAAGTGTGAAAGGGCGCAAATTAAGCAGGGTGAAAATAATGCTGTACACAATATATCATTTATATTTTTCAAAACTTTGGTAGTGCAAATTTATGGGTTTATTTCAGCTACATTATGTCAAATAAAATCTAACTAAGGGAGATTCTACATATTACCCACTTATTTTACTCTAAATGTGGATACAAAGATAAATGCTCTTATGTCCCTTAATTATATATATGAAAATGTACAAGATATTTGTGCAACAATGCTCACTAGTTAATACCCCTGACGTGAATTTGGTATGGACTGATGCACAGATAAACAGGAAGTTGACATAAGATTTGTACAAAATTAAATCTGACCAAATGGCAGGCCAAAACAGTGTGCCAAAATTTTAAGCATAGTATAAGAATAGTAGTTGGTGAGAAACTGTTTGCAATGGACAGATAGACACACATGCAAGGATAAAACAGTATACCTCCCTCTCTTTCTACCCGGGGGATGGGTGGGAATTAGTCTTATATTTCCATCACCAACCGTGAAATGATACAGAATGCAAAGGGCTATAACTCTTAATGTGCTTCAAGGAATTTAAATCTCTATTCAGTTGTGATGCAGTGATTAAAAGACTAAGCATGATTAATATTAGGCAGAACTCATATTTAGTACAGTCGAATCTCATTATCTTGAACTCGATGAGACTTAGGAAAAACTTCGAGATATCCGATGATTTGAAATACAGAGGGTAAATTACTTGGAGAATATGTGGTTGGGACTTCCAAATCACTTTGACATATCCATGGTTTTCAAGATATCGGTGTTTGAGACACCAAAGTTCAACTGTACTTAGATTATTCTTATGAAAATCATTCAGTCTGAGAATACTTTTATATATACATCAGTACTCACAGAGTTCCAAGTTATGAAAGTTTTTTTTAATTTTATGTTGTATGTGTAAATGATGTGTTTATACAGATATATTTACATTTCCATTTATTTGTCTTTAGCATTCCTTACAAATTAGAATTTTGTTCATTTTCTCATGAACTACCATGGGTGAGCATGAATATCTTCATTCTTACGTCATCATATCGCACTTGACGTCAAAATTTTAGTGCAAACTGTTTTGCTTTAAAAATGACAGTTAAATGGCATAGTTTTTAGTAACTTATCAGAAAATAATGTAAAATAAGAAATGAATTTAAATTTTGAAAATTCATGAACTACAAAGCTTCATACCAGCATATTTATCATGGAGCGCTAATGCCCTTCATGAAATATGCCGGCGTGAAGCGTCGTAGTTCATGTCCTCATGAATCTTCAAAGATTAAATTCATTTCTTAATCACTGCTGGCAAATTAAATTACAGCTGAGATCTGGACTGTATTTACCTTCATTAATATACATTGTTTATGTGTTGATAAACTAAATTACAATTTTATAAACAAGTACTTACATCTGAAAGGCATTAAAGTGAAAGTACACAAGTCCAAGGCCATACATGAAGGGGGCATTCTGAAACATAAAGAAAATTAAAGCATTACTTCAAAGTACAGTACTTTATTGTATTGTTATGACATGCATTAAGCCCACTTCATTCTCTAATCTTGCATATCTTTCAAGCAAAGCTTCTCTACATAAAGTAGTGAGTTGAAATACGAGTGACTAAGATGCATTCAAGATTGTAACAGCTAGCCTAGCTGCAATACATGTATTAGATATCCAGTTTCTATTGAATATACTGTATGGATTAACACTGTTAAGGCTAGGGTAGGATATCCCTGATGATTGTAGCTCTACATAGATCTGGTATGGGCTATGAACTTGAATACACTGCAGATAATTGCTTCACTCTCAGAGATCAAAGTCAAATAAATAACAATTTATCCAATGGTGTCCAAGCTCAATGGATATCAGTAGGTATAAACCAATTCATGTCGAATATTTTATCCAGTAAAATATTCTTTGTGATTATTAAACAACCATTGTTTTAATTAATTTATCTCTAAGTACATATTCTTCCTTTATGGCTATTTCAAACACATACATGTGGTAATTTCTAGATCCAGACACTGTACAGCAGCCTTCAAAATACTGGAATTTCAGTGAAAATGCTGTACATTGCTAATCAAAAAACGGTACAAAAAGCGGTGCAAAATATCGACCAAAAAAACAATATAAGGTGTTTATTTTTTAATAATATGTTGATGGTGCGACCATTAGAGCGAGCGCAAACTCTTCTATTGTTTTGATTTAATCAATGTACCGCACGTGACATTTGATGCATCATGACGTCACATGACGTATGTAACAATATTACCGAGAAAATGAACAGTCTGAAAGTTAATGAAGAACATTTTGATTTTTATATATATCCATTAAATCAAGGCGAGTAAACTTTTTGTTGAACACTGATTTGCTAAAACAAGTGAAGAATGCATCAAAAAAATCGAATGAATGTTTTGAATTTTCTCTTCGCACAGGCATTGCTGTAAGAGCTCACTATGCGAGCGGCGCTTCGCACCGCCTCGCTACGCTCGCTAATAAATTTCAAATCAATGTACAGGAGCATCAATGCATAACATTCATTATGATTTAATATTCATTTCAAGAAACTGTTGAAGAATTAATTTTGAATTTCCGCATTAAACTATGCTAAATGCTGAACTTAGTAAAAAGTACTATAGTGCTTAAAAACAGTTTATTGTATGAGTCTGGTCGTTTCCATTCAGCTGCAATTTTAAAGTTGTACTAAAAAACATTTCTTTTAATCTGTGTTTGAATAGACAATACGTATGCCTAATCAAATAATGGACTTAATTTCGTTTTGCTGTCACAAAGTTTCTTTCTTCTGAATGGCGTTTTCTCTTTGAAATGTCTTTACTGACTTTAGTTTTAATAAATTACAGTTTAAAAAACCCTTGATCAAGGTCCTATTAAAAAGCAATCAGCCAAACAAATCGCTTTGATATCTCCTAATTACGATGTAATTATCACGGGAATATTTCACACCTTCGTTCATGATGTTTTGTTTACATTAATCAAGCGCAGTAAGTCACGCATAGTTCGAGATTTTCGGTGTTGCGAGAACGGGAATGAAAGAAAAATAGCAGTTTCCGATAAACATTTCAAAATACGGTACACATTTTCATTTCCTGTGAATTTTGGTGTACCGCTGGGACACCGTGATGGGGGTCGAAAATACGGGACATTTCCTGTACAGCCGGTACATATCTGAAACATGTATGCAAACATCTGACATGGTCATCCAAAATGAATGTAGATTAAGAGTAAATGATGATGAGATCTATTTAGTTCTAAATAATATTGCTTAATATTTTTTCAAGGTTTTAATATTAAATGTAAAACTACTTGATTTTATCTAAGAGAGATAAATTTCAATAAAATCAGAAATAAAACCAAATTTACCTTCCAGTGATCTTCTCTCAGATGGAAAAATCTCTGATATGCTGAGAGAGCTGGAAAAAAGATGCAAGGTTTGAACATACATGATAACCACAGTAAAATAAAATACAGACTACAGTGAATTCAAGCCAACATATATTCAATGCTATGCAGTACTTAATAAATAAATACATAGGATCTTGTTGAAATTGGTGACAATATCATATTTTTTGAAACATGTTCTAAAAGTCCACCAGGACTTCAATTTTCATAGCAATTTTAATTTTTATTTGTACAAAACAGATTTTTTTTAAATGTTTGATTAGAATAATTAACTACAGTAAAACATGGTTATAGCGAACACGCTTATAATGAATTAAAGCTTGAGGTGATTTTCCTTCCTCCTGACTTTACTATATATTGTTTACTTGATGGATGTAATAAATTACGCGTGCAACAAATTACGTTTATAATGAAGCTCTATCGTCCATCCCTAGTGCTTCGTTACAAGCGTGTTTCTCTGTATATCACTACAGATCAGAGCCTCTGATTTCCAGACATTGTGGTTTACCTTTAGGGTACTGTTCCAGAAGCAGGAGAAGGTGGCCCAGCTGACAGTAAATTTTTGGATCCACTGAGGCGTCAATCTCCTCCCCTTCCTTCCCTCCGTCACGCTTGGATTTCTGAATTATCTCATGCTCGTAAAACTTTATACCCTGGAAATATTTAAAGTCAAATATGAAGAAAAGAATATTAGATTTCTTAGCATAATTTGTAATTTAAATTGAAAGAGAAAACATTCTAATATGAAATCATGGTGGCCCAATGTATACCAATATACTTGTATTTCAGTTTGTTTGAAAAAAAAAGACATGATGTCAATAATTTTCTTAAATAAGTACTGTAAATCACTTTTTATTCGCGAGAACTTTATTTTCGCGTAATTACGCGAGACAGTGTACTCGCAAAAATTTAATTCTCGCGTATTATAGTATTCCTTAAGATTATATAGAGCAATAACCACAATTCGTGAAAATTTTGTCTCGCTAATCAAGAGTCAATGACTATCTCGCGAAAATAAGGTGTCGCGAAAAATTAGTGATCTACAGTAATACAATGTATAACTAAAATTATTATTTCTTGTACATTTGAATGTATAGGAAGGTAACTTTTGGGTTTTTTTAAAAGCTTTTAAGGATTTATTTTATGTATAAATCTTATACAAATATATAATCACCTAGGTACAGTTGTATTATAAATTGTTGCAATTTCTTAAACCTATAACAATTTTATCAATTTACATTACTTAACAAACACCATCAACAAAAAACTACCATTAAAATCTTAATTATTTTTTTTTCTCTGAGAATGTCAAAATATTTTCTACATAAATAAAGTGTTTATACTTAGCCATTTTTTTTTACTCACCTTTTCTATCAGAGCCCGTTTGCTGGCCTCCTCTGGTACATTAAGTTTCAGGAATCCAAACAAACAACTGAAATCAAATAAAAACATAGGTAATCAGAGATTACAGAGCTCACCTCACCGAATGTTGTCTTTAATTAAGTAAGGCAAAGTCACACAATTACCCAACAAAAAGTGTACATCCAAAAATGCAACATTTATGAAAACTTCAAACTAGTTCTTCATCACAAAAATGTGATCAAATCTAGCATCTGAAGCAAGTTTAAGAGTTTTCATCCCTTGATGCATCATTTCGGCAAGTTTGGTTTATTTAAGCCTTATAGTTTCTTGGTGATAGACCTGCACCCATAACTTTTTACCTGGTCCATTATCTGGAAAATGTATGTTGAATTCAGCATCCGGAGCAAGTCCATTAGTATGCATCCTAAGATGTATCTTCCATGCGAGTTTGCACAATATAGGGCTAATAGTTACTTAGAAAAGAAACCTGCTTAAAAATTTAATCTCCTCAGTCATCCAGAAAAAAATGTAGTTCAGATTCAGCATCTGAAGCCAGCCTGGTAGAATGCAACCTTAGATGTATCATCCATGCAAGTTTGGTCATTAAAGAGGTCATAGTTACATGGAAATGAATCCTGCATCAAAAACTTTAACCTGTTCACTCATCCAGAAAATGTAGGTCAGATTCAGCATCCGAAGCAAGTCTGGTAGTATGCATCCTAAGATGTATCATCCATGCAAGTTTAGTCATTATATGGCTCATTGTATCTTGGAAATGAAACCTGCCCCAAAAACTTTAACCTGTTCAATCATCCAGAAAATGTAGGTCAGATTCAGCATCCAAAGCAAGTCTGGTAGTATGCATCCTAAGATGTATCATCCATGCAAGTTTGGTCATTAAAGAGGTCATAGTTACATGGAAATGAATCCTGCATCAAAAACTTTAACCTGTTCACTCATCCAGAAAATATAGGTAAGATTCAGCATCCGAAGCAAGTCTGCACTAAGATGTATCATCCATGCAAGTTTAGTCATTATACGGCTCATTGTAACTTGGAAATGAAACCTGCCCCAAAAACTTCAACCTGTTCACTCATCCAGAAAATGTAGGCCAGATTCAGCATCCGAAGCAAGTCTGGTAGTATGCATCCTAAGATATACCATCCATGCAAGTTTGATCATTATAGGGCTCATTGTATCTTGGAAATGAAACCTGCCCCAAAAACTTTAACCTGTTCAATCATCCAGAAAATGTAGGTCAGATTCAGCATCCAAAGCAAGTCTGGTAGTATGCATCCTAAGATGTACCATCCATGCAAGTTTGGTCAACATAGGGCTTATAGTTACTTCGAAATGAAAACTGCACCAAAAACATTAACCTATTCACTCAACCAGAAAATGTAGGTCAAATTCAGCATCCGAAGCAAGTCTGGTAGTGTATACATCCTTAGATGTATCACCCATGCAAGTTTGGTCAACATAGGGCTAATAGTTACTTGGAAATGTGACCTGCACCAAAAACATTAACCTGTTCAACCAGAAAATGTAGGTCAAGTTCAGCATCCGAAGCAAGCCTGGTAATGTGCATCCTAAGATGTACCATCCATGCAAGTTTGGTCAACATTGGGCTTATAGTTCCTTGGAAATGAGACCTGCACCAAAAACATTAATATGTTCACTCAACCGAAAAATGCAGGTCAGATTCAGCATCCAAAGCAAGCCTGGTAATGTGC